TCTCTTCAAATTCTAAAACCTTTTTAAAACCATTTTTCTGAAATCCTTTAATGCTTTAAATGTTTTCCTTACTTCTTAAACTAAGAGTTTAAACTTTCCTTGCTAACATAGAGCCAATCATTTTCCTGTAATGCAGAAACAATCATTTTTGTCAGCTTCTTAATTTTGTTTATGTCCATAAATGCCAAACTGCGTTTGTCACTGGTGTGGTCCTTGTCTGGCTCAGCCAGCTCTGCTGTCCTCTCCCCCGTTAGCCTCCTGAGTGGTGTTTATTTATTATTGGCCCTGAACTCCACTCACCAAACTTGTTTAGAGTTACACGCTAGATTCTATTTTATCAGGGCTCCAAGTGAGGATGTGAGAAGTAAAATTCCTTCGCTTTTCAGGAGACTCTGTTGAGGTCATATCAGGCACTTGATTTTTCTCATCTGGAATATGGGGATAATGAAATCTATTCAAAAGGATGGCTGTGAGAGGCAACAGGAAAGGCACGTGAAGTTGACCTGTAGGACGCACAATGCTAACCAACTGTGAGGCTGCCTCGGGGGGCAGGACCACTGTAGGTCCCACTGCTGCGGAAGTTCAAAGCCACCTCTGCTTCTCCTTAGGCGGCATGCAGAGGACAAGTTGCTCCTTCCTTCGAAGAGGAGCCACTCAAGTAATTCTAATAAACCCTTGGGTGTATTTATCTAATTGGATTATAAATAGATTGATTAAGGGGCACTGGGAAGAAATTAAAATTTTCTGCATCTGAGTTTCTTTGCTTTTATTTTTATTTATTTTTTTTTTTAAGATTTTATTTTTTCCTTTTTCTCCCCAACGCCCCCCGGTACATAGTTGTGTATTCTTCGTTGTGGGTTCTTCTAGTTGTGGCATGTGGGACGCTGCTTCAGCGTGGTCTGACGAGCAGTGCCATGTCCGCACCCAGGATTTGAACTAACGAAACACTGGGCCGCCAGCAGCGGAGCGCGCGAACTTAACCACTCGGCCACGGGGCCAGCCCCTGAGTTTCTTTGCTTTTAAATATAGAGTGGTGCTTTGAACCTAAAAAATGTTCATATCTTGGGGCTGGCCCCGTGGCCGAGTGGTTGAGTTTGCGCGCTCTGCTGCAGGTGGCCCAGTGTTTCGTTGGTTCGAGTCCTGGGCGCGGACATGTCACTGCTCATCAGGCCATGCTGAGGCAACGTCCCACGTGCCACAACTGGAAGGACCCACAACGAAGAATATACAACTATGTACCGGGGGGCTTTGGGGAGAAAAAGGAAAAAATAAAATCTTTAAAAAAAAAATGTTCACATCTTTTGACTAAGTAATCTCTCTTGTAGGACTTAATTCTAAAGAAATAGTCAGACGTAAGAACAAAGATTTAATGCATAAGCATTTTTCATCTGCCTTCCTCCTTTTTTTGTGATGGTCAGCATAAGAAGCCTGTGGCTCTGTCCCACAAAACCCATAGCACCAAGATTTGCAGATATTGGCTTGAATTTATTTAAATTGCCATGGAATGCCTTTCTTTTTGAGCAGATTCCGAAGATTTGTTGCACACCTAAATCTTTGATGGATGTCAGCCATGTAAGGGTACACTGGACTTGACAGGGTCAAAAGTATGTACAAACATTGGCAGATAGCAGTGCTGGATATTATGATTTAGCTTCCTTGCATTTTAGATCTTATAGACCTAAACTCATCCTTGATTCTGGCTATGTATATTCCATGCCATTCTGTATATGAACAAAATACTGTGTCAGTCTGGGTCCTCTGAGCGCAGACATCAAGAGAGAACTAGCTGTGTAAGAGATTTACTGTAGGAAAAACCTGTGAAAGGTAAAGGGGAGAGGGAGCAGGGACAGGCAAGTTGTTAAAAAAAAATGAACCAGGGCAGTCTTGCATAATTTCCTATCTGGATTTTGTTGATTGCATCCCAGTGGTGGTATTTAACACGTTCCTCTAAGTATCTGAGTATCAGATCTAGAGGCTTGATCACATTAGAATTTAGTTTGTTTGCCCCTTCCCTTCCTCCCCTCCCTCCCACTCTTCCTCCCTTCAACTCTTTGTAGGTGGTGGTGCATGCTTCCATCAGGAGGCAAATAATGTTTGGTTATCTCTTTTTTGTGTGTGTGATGTTAGCAGCTGTTGACAATTATTACACTAGATCCATTAATTCATTAGGGGTTGCAAAATGCTCATATTCTAATTATTCCTGTCTTCACTTATTAGCTAGCATACTTTTATACGGTAAAACCTTCCTTTGTTAGCCATTTGGTTGCTTTGAGGTTCAATGCAAATAGGAAAGGTAGGATGATTGCCAGATTCTTTTCTTTCTTTTATCCTTTTTCAAAATGATAGGGTGGTTCCTTAGCATTCTCCAAAGGTGAGCAATGAGAGTTTTTATTTGTTTGTTTAGTATTTATTATGAAATCATGGATTTAAGCCATTCACTTGTTATTTTTGATAACCAAGTTGTTCTATCTTTGGCCTGTGGGAGTTTATATAGGTAGGTTCCTGAGCCCTTTTGTCACAGTCCTAGTAGTCTCTGATAGCCTCCTTGCTTTCTGGTATGACTTGCTGGTTCAGACCCATCTTGTACATTTCCTGCCCCAGATCTGGACTAGGTCATGAGCCATGGTTCATTTTTAGTGGGAATTGATTGTTTGGAAACCACAATCTGGATGTCGAGAGTGTTCATTGCTACAAGTTAGGTTTTTATTTTTAGCCCTTTTCATTGGACAGGACTGAGAAATATGTATTTTTTTTAAAGACAGAATATATCCAGAAATTATACTGATAATTCTAATTCATATTTAGCACTACAGGGTTTTTATTTAATCTCATTGTTCTTACATCTGAATTTTCTTATCCCCTTGCCCCAAATTCTGCTTCTCAGTGACACCAGCCTGGTTACTCATTTGCTTTATCCCACACTACATACATAATAGCCTCAAAATAACAAAACTAATACTAGGACCAATGAAATGATTACTGAACAAAATGTTTCCAGTTCTTTTTTGTCTTTAGGATATATATCATTAGAAATGAACTATCAAATTATTGGGTTTTAAAATCACTTAGGATAGTTCCTCTCCTCAACCATTTGTATACATATTTAGGTATCATTTGTATCATTTTACTAATCTTATCCCTAGTGTCCTTCTTATTTTTCTTTCACTCTAATATTCTAATTTTTTTCTTCTTGAAGTGTGTTTAATTCTGTAGTCTGCTTCATATTTTTTGTAATAGGAGTATAAAGATAACTAGGTATAAGGTAGCATTTGAAGTACAAAAAGAATGTAAATTTAAAAATAAGTGTGGGGGGCCAGCCCGGTGGCCTAGTGGTTAAGTTCAGTGTGCTCTGCTTCCGTGGCCCAGGTTCAGTTCCTTGGCGTGGACTTACACCACTTGTCTGTCAGTGGCCATGCTGTGCCAGTGGCTCTCATACAACAAAGAGGAAGATTGGCAGTGTATGTTAGCTTAGGGTGAATCTTCCTCAGCAAAAAAAAATCAAATAAGTGTGTACACACATGTATTTTCTTACTTTGTGAGCTGAAAGGTCTTAGAAGTAGTAACACCCCGGTAGCAACAGGCACACCTAGAGCCCAGATCTTAGTTTCTAATACCTGTCTGCAATGAAAGGAACCAAGGCTATGGCTTGGCCCAACGGTATAGTAGTTAAGTTCGCATGCTCCACTTCAGCAGCCCAGAGTTCACGGGTTCGGATCCCAGGCGTGGACCTACACACGGTCGTCAAGCCATGCTGTGGCAGCATCCCACATACAAAATAGAGGAAGATTGGCACAGATGTTAGCTCAGGGATAATCTTGCTCACCAGAAAAAAAAAGAAAAGGAAAAGAAACCAGGGCTCATTGGAGAAATGACTGATTCTAAGGCTGGGAAGAGAAGACATCTTGTAATACCCAGAAAGTGAGGAAGTGTTTAAACACACACACACACACGAAATGATGGGAGTGTGTCAAAGGGACACAGGAGCCAACTGAAAGCAACAAAATCAATAACATAGTATTGGATTATAATCCAAAGTATCAAACAACTATCTTTGAGTCCATACTGATATAAATAAATGATTGAATAAATAAAGAAGTGGGGGACAGAGGGGACAAATCTCCTGTGCAGGAGAATTCCAAATAATTTATGTCGCTACTCCACCTTCAAGGAAGTGGGACATAAATCCCTACTCCTTAAGTGTAGGCTGGCATAGACTTCCTCCCGAAGAGTACAGAGTGGAAAGGGGGAAAAAGAGTAGCTTTACAGTGGAGAAACCGGACAAACACTGCCTCAACTAGGTTATCAAGATTAACATCGGCGATAAATCATGTGGATAGCATGCACACTTGATGTAATGTTAATCCACGACACTTTCTCTCTTTTCTGGTATTACTACACTGGGTTTTAAATCTATCTTTTATGAAAGTTTTGATTTACAGGTGAAAACTTGTTCTCAGCTTTGAGCCAATGAATAAAGTATGAAGTGTGGTTCCTACCTTTGAATCTAGTGGGGGCAAACAAGATCTATCAAGCATGTAATCCAGATATAAATTATAAGAGGGGATTATGGGGATTTTCAAGTTGAGAAAAGCACAGATATACTGAGGGCTGGTGTACCCAGGGGAAGTTTCCAGGAAAACATACTCTTCTGTTTATACAATCAGGATTTCTGGAAGAGGAGCACAATAAGGGTTGATTTAGGGGTTCAACAAATTCTCTTAAATATGATTTGATTATCACTAAAAACCAAAATAGATATTTTAAAAGTTACATTTTGTCAACCAACTTTATTATGATAGATAATGTAATATATAATAGATTATAAAATTGGTGGCTCAATTAATCACAGTGTGGTCAGAATTTCTTAGAAAGACAGTAAAATCAATGGATTGTGTATGATGCCCTGCATTCATTTTGTGTGTAACTTGCTTAAATCTTGCATGTTTCTTGTTTAGATGTTAGTATGTTCCTCGATTTTGTTTTCCTTTTTTTCCTTTTAGGATTGTCTGCTGCCAAACTCTTAGCCGAACATGAAACTAATGTTTTGGTTTTGGAAGCCCGGGACAGAGTTGGAGGAAGAACATACACTGTGAGGGTAAGTGATTTTAATACCTACATATAATATCTCACACAAACCAGAAGGGGCTCACTGGAAGTCACAGGGCTAGAGCAGATCTCAAGAGTTCATGCAGTTAAACATTTATCCTCCGTAGCCCTAAACTACTCCATCAATTAAGTGTCCCTTCTTTTCAACAAGAACTCATCGAAGAGTGACAGCCTCTGTCCTTCAGTAGCTTATATTCTAGTGAAGAAAACGAACGTGAACAAATAATTTCAGTACAGTGTCATAATTTCCATACAAGAGACCTAAATAGAGTATGCAGTGTCTCAGGTGGGGTTACGGTTTGGCTGGACTGGAGATGACCATACACCCACAGCACACACACAGTATAGGTTCCTTGTTTATTTATCCAAGGATACACAACTTAAAAGAAGTGTGGCTACAGTAAGCAGAAGTAAATGTAGCGTATTTTTGTACAACTTTTTCCTTGGTCCTTGTTCCCTAAGAGATGTGCTGCTGCTAGAGACACTCTTTGCTCAGGTCGGGTCGACTAGACATGAGAAGGAAGCTTCTTGCTATGTCACTGCCGTTTTATACTTGAGCTTACATCACCATTCTGGAAAAATGCACACTTATTGTTTACTACTATTCAAGGAAATGGTTGCAGGTGGTTGAATGTGTGGAGCTGATGCAAGTACAAAGGAAGAGTACGTAGGGTGGGGAGGAAATAGGACCAAAGATGGAAGTTTGGGGAGCATGCAGATTTAAGAGGGGGCAGAGGCAGAGGAGCCAGAGAGAGGCAGTAGAGGCAGAAGAGGAGGACCAGACTAGAGCAGTGCCGTGCAAATCAGTGGAGGAAAGTGGAAGGGATGATCAACAGGGTCAAATGCCAAGGGCACTTGACACAGGATGAAGGCTGAAAAGAGGCCCTTGTGTTTGATTAGAAGGTGAGCACACAAATAGAGTGTTAAAGGCTGGGGATTGGCAGCAAGGACAAAACCAGACTGTTGAAGTGACTGGAAGGAGAGAAAGCATCTATCTAATTAGAAGATGTATCAGACTCAGAATAGAATGGCTTTTGCGGTGATAATAACAATGGCTTAAGCAATACAAACATTCAATTATTTTACATAGGAAGAAGTCTAGTGGTAGGTGGTCCAGGCTGGTGCGAGGGTTCAGCTTTGTTTTCAAGGCTTTGCCTTCTTTCTGTCTCTCTGCTCAGCCATTCTTTGCTTGTTGGCTTATTGCCTAGTGGTAACCAAATCACTGCTGCAGCTCAAGCAGCAAGTCCTCCTTTTCAAGGCAGGAAAGAACATGAAGAAGTGGCCTGTCTTATCTGCAGCAATGCTTTTCTTTTACCAGAAGACCCCAGCAGACATTTGCTTTAGTCTCATTGGCCAGAGTTGGGGCACATAGCAACCCTTAGCTGCCAGGGAGCCTGGGGAAGCAAGTGTTTACCATTTCCAGGCTGCATAATAGAAGCAGGCATGGGAAAGGGAATATGAATGGATGTGGAATAGCCAACCAACAGCATCTGAACCAGGACATTGTACCAGCTCTTTCAGTCACACCATGCCATGCTCCCCTTCTGTCATTCGCTTTCTACCTTTTTAGATGTGCAGGGATGTCTCATAGGCCTATTTTCACTTTGCTCAGCTCTAAAAGTGTTCTACAGCCTCGCTACGCAAAGTGTCCTGTGGACCAGCAGCCGTGGAATCACCCAGGATAGAAATCACCCTTGATAGAAATGCAGAATCTCAGGCCCTGTCCCAGACCTGCTGAACCTGAAGCTGCATCTTGACAAGATCCCCAGGGGATACTGTAGAAGTGCTGCTCTATGATGTGTGTTTGCTTGCTTGCTTTAAATTAATGTAAATCCAGATTAATTGCATTTGGAGAATTTCTGAGTACTTCCTCAAATGTAGTCCACTGGGAGGCAATAGATCTAGGAGTGAGCAGACTGGGATTCTGGCCCCTGTACTGGCCTGATTCACTGTCTTATCTTGGGTAAGTTCTGTTAGCACTTTACATCTGAGATTTCTCATCTGGGCAATGAGATACAATCTAAATACACTCAAAGAAGCTCCCTTCCACCTTCAAATTCTAATCGAAGGCAGTGTGTTGGAGTGCAAAAGAAGGATTGCATATTCTGACTGTATGACTTATTAGATATGATTCTCCTGTCATTTTCTGAAAAATATTCCTTCGTTTTTGAGATAGTTATTAAGTTGTCCCTTAGCCCTACTTTTCTTATCTCTAAAACCTTTTGGTTATTAAATAGGACCATCAGTCATGTTGCAGATTTTCAGTTAGGAGCAAATTTCTTTCTATAAGGGAAATGAGAATTTAGCATGCTTGTCCCCATCTATGTTATTTCCCCAGGCTGCTTTTCCATGCTGCATTATTTATATATGTCAGCACCATACAGGAACTACTGTGTATTGAACATGATATTATAACTTCCCTTAGGTAGGCGAGAAAAGAGCTTTGAAATGCTTAGAAACTAGGACTTAACATTTATAAGATTTCAAATGAATAGAAGGAGAAAAAAAGGCTTTCTTAAGAAACAGGGACAGATGATGGTATTTAATAAAAAAACGGAACTGAATATTGTTCGAATTGTTTCTCATAGCTCGGTCAATTAGGATAATTTGGAATGGAAATGTCATAAAAGTTATTCTGGATCTTTCAGTACTGAAATGTCAACTTTGCTATTGTCACTTGGCAGCTGTTCAGATAGATCTTCTATTAGTTCAGAACTTCCCAGTTTTTCCTACTGCGATTCCTCCGTAATTCTTCAGGATCAAGTTAATGCAGTTGATATGCCTGCAGGGCTACCGCAGGGATGGTGTATTTGTTTCCTAATATAGTTGCATGTTTGTGACCTTTTCAAAGGCTGAGTAATGAAATGGAAATCAAGACCCTAAAGACTGAAGTGCAACATAGCAGAATATGGTATTACAGTTCTAGTATCTTGCTGAACCTGAGGCACCTCCTTTAGAATCTTTTGACTTTGTAAAGAAACATTCTGTAAAGTGCCTCACACTTTTTACTACCTCACTTAGGACTTTTGCCTTACAGATAGTGTCAGTGTTCTAAAGACATCATGTTTGGGAACTCACAAGAGTCCTCTTGCTGTCTTTGTTAAAACCTCGAAATTTATTGGAGTGCTGACTCCAGTTTTGTTTTCATGTCTTAAAAAGGATGTTGGAGACTAGAGAATGTCTGGAGGACAGCACCAATAGGTAGTAAAAGGGAATGTAAGGGTTATATGAGGAACAGGTTAAAGAAGTCAAAGGGACACTTCATTTCTGGTATTCTGGCAGAATGGAAAGCCTGATTAACTCTCCCCATCGAAATAAGTAAAATGCTGAATAAAGTATACTGTGCTGCCTTGATATGGAAGCTAGAAATGTGTACATCTCCTGGATGTTGAACAGATATCTCAAATTTAACACATTCAAACTGAACTTCTGATCTTCTTCATCAAGACCACTATTCCAGAAGCCTTCCCCATATCAGAGGATGGCAACTCCAAAAAACTCGGAGTCATGCTCAACACTATCAGGCCCCGCATTCATTCTGTCAGGAACTTCTGCTGGCTTTGCCTTCAAAATATATCCAGAATTCACCACTTCCCACCACTTTCATGACTGCCGCTTGGTGGGAGCCACCACCATCTCTAGGACAGATTATTCAGTAGCCTCCTAACTGATTTCCCTGCCTTTGCCCTTGCTGCCCATAATCTAGTCTTCGTGCAGCAGCCAGAATAAGCCTTTCAAACCTGAGTCAGATCGTGGCACTTCTCTGCTCAAAAGCATATTTGGGACAAGAGCATTCCTGGCAGAAGGAAGAGCCAATGCAAAGATTCTAAGGCAGAAATGTGCCTGGTGTATTCAAGAAATAGGAGATCAATTTGGCTAAAAGAGAGTGATTAAGGAAAAGAGAATTGGAGATGAGGTTAGGCAGGTCACTAGGGGGCAGATCGTGTCTTCCTGTGATGCATTCTGTCCAGCAAATTTTTTGTGTGTGTGTGTGAGGAAGACTGGCCCTGAGCTAACATCTGTTGCCAATATTACTGTTTTTGCTTAAGGAAGATTGTTGCTGAGCCAACATCTGTGCCAATCTTCCTCTACTTTATGTGGGATGCAGCCACAGCATGGCCTGATGAGTGGTGCCAGGTACACGCCTGGGATCTGAACCTGCGAACCCCCGGCTGCCAAAGCGGAGTGCGCGAACTTAACCACTACGCCACCGGGCTGGCCCCCTGCAGATGTTTTAAAATAGGATCAAGAGCTCATCAGTGTGGGCTGATTTAAAATTTCTTCTGTTGGAAATCAGAGAGTTAGGCCTAATCAATCTCTGTGTGGCTCCTGCAGCACAACCTCAAGGAAAAGGATAGATAATAACCTAAATGCTTTGAAAAGGATTTAGATCAGCAGGATGTCCCACAGTGTTCTTTATTCCTTATGCATGTTATTGCTGAATTGGCCTCAGCAGTGACTATACAAATGGGGTTGCTTAATGATGAGTGTCATACAGGGTTAATGAGTGGAGAAGAAAGGAATGCTATTTTCAGTTGCATTTTATAAGAGAGATAAAAGGCACATTTAGGTTGTAAAAAATAAATGTTTTTTTATAAGACAGAAACTCTTTTTTTCATGTTTTAACTAAAATCTTCTGGTTACTTTTTCTCTTTCCACAGAACAAACATGTGAATTACGTAGATGTTGGCGGGGCTTATGTAGGACCAACCCAGAACAGGATCTTACGGTTATCTAAGGAGCTGGGTTTAGAGACCTACAAAGTGAACGTAAATGAGCGTCTTGTTCAGTATGTCAAGGTAAGCCTGGCTCAAGTGACCAATGGGGGAGCATTATTTGGGAAAACATTTCGTTTTGTTTTGTTTTTTCTTCAAGCAATCATAAAAATTGGCTGTCAGGTTTAAAGTAGTATTCTGCCTTTCTTTTCTTTTTTTGTTTTCATTTAAAAAATCCCTGTGGCCTCCTGGAATCACTGCAAGGGGTCATGCCTCAGCTTGGCCCTCCCCCACATCACCCACTGTGACCCTTGAAGGCTGCACGCCCCACCCCAGTCCAACTGGAGTAGGAGTAAGAAGCTCTCAGCTTCCTTCCTTCCCTCCCTCTGCGGGTGGGGGTGCCTGGGACACACACATACACACACACACAGCCCCAGGCAGCCCCTGAGGCACCTATGAGGCAATTCTAAGGTCCCTAGGAACCTAATAGTTTGAGGCCACTTCTTAAGACTTTGAACAGGTTATTCATCCTCATTCTTGCCTGACATTTCTTTGCACACTTTGATAATTTCCTTTGTACCTGGCCTTGACTCTTGGGAAGTCTCGCTCGGTTGTGCAGTTTCCCACTATTTAAACAAGAGACTGTTTAAACTCTGACTGCTGATATCCAGTCAAGAAACAGCAGCTGTTGCCAGCATTATTCTTTCTTACTGAATCCAAACATGGAGCAGCTGGAGTCTGGAAACGTGCCTTGAGAAATCAAGTATCCAATCTGACATTGCAGCCCACTTCCTGGAACTAGTGTCACGAGGGCAGGGGTCATTTACTCATTCTAATGCCAGGATTCCCACACCGGTAACCACATCTACCCCCCATTCCACCCCAGGCAGTCATGTAGGTCTAGTGTCTTCAAGGCCTTTCAGAGCTGGGAGTTAAGGATACTTGTGATGTGTGCACATTGATGCCCAATGAAGGAGATCAGGAATCTTGGGAAACTCGGAGAGCTGGTTTGAGATGGTTTGGGATGCTTGGGAAAGTCTGGCAGTGGCACATGAGAAAACAAACCAGAAGCCTTTAGAAAAATTGGGTCCAGATGTCAAGGGAGGAATGTAGAAAACATAAAAAATTATACAAAGTGTTTATGAATGCTGGCTTCAATAGGCCATGATCAAAAAGGGAAAAAATCCTTTGCTTCCCCACTTTCTCTTTTCTGCATAGTATGTTTCCCTGTAATAAAAACGGTAAGAATAATAACAGCTCACATTTATTGAGCAGTTTTACGTGTATTGGCATATTTAATGTAGGGAGAGAAACCAAATCCTTTGCACTCAACTGCTAATTAAACAGTCATGTAAATTCACTCGCCAGTCCAGCTGGGAAGAAAAGGAGTCTGATGATTATCCTGGAATCTGAGCACACTCATGCTTATAATTTCTTTCTTCCTAACACTCAGGAGCTGGGAGATTTTTCTTTTCCCTGGAGACTCATGATAAACAACTAAGTGCGTTTTATGCATAAATTCCTTAAATCCTTCTATCTACCTTATTAGGCAGGCATGATTATCCCCATTTTACAGAGGAGAAAACTTAGCTTCAGAGAGGTAAAGTGATTTGACAGGGTTATAAACCTAGTAATGGTCTGCCTTCCCCCTGACTACATGCTCTTCATGAATTTTAGAACTGACTTACCAGTAAGCACGTATTTAACATGCTACACACTGTCCTTTTCATTTAAGACATAATCTCATCTAATGAAATGGTGGAGAATAGAAATACCATTAAACCATCCTCTCACATACTTTAACCTGCCAAAAAAACACATATTTTCACCAAAGTAGACAGCAATGTTATGGTAAAAATGTAGCAGGTCAATTAGAGGTTAATTTCTCTGAATGAGTGCCTTTCTGCTATTGTTTCTAGTAAATCGTCTCCTTTCTGCAATGAGAAATAGTGTAGTAGATGTTTTTATAATGACCAGGAAACTGTAAAGTAAGGAGACCAGATGAGGGAAGAGCAGGAAGATATTCAGTTAACTATTCCAAGTAAGATTGTTAATAAACTGTATAGCAAAAAATAATTCCACTTATTTAAAAATATCTCAACTCACTATTCTGGCCATTTCTAGGGAAAAAAAAATGGACTTTTCTGCAGCACAATAGTATATTGGGTTAATAATGCAAATTGTCTTTGTGATACTCTCTGCATCAGCTCTCATGACAACCCCAGCTTCTGTAATTCTAATACAGTTCATTCTTTTTGGTAAATATCACTAAAGTGAGTGAATCACTAGAAGATTGCTGCTATCTAGTTAAACCAAGCCATATTCTTTATGGTCAAGATTGATTCAGCTCTTAAATTTTCCCAAGTTGCAGCCTTAAAGAATGCTCCAATTTGTTTCTTCTGTTAGCAGACTGTAGGGCATCCAGTTTCAACCTACTCTAGGATGGTTTTTAGTATTCACCAAAGAACTATTCTTGACCTCTGCTAGATTGTGTCTACAGCGCAAGTTTTGACGTGATAATGTGGTGTTCCAAGCCTGGGTCTCTGAGCTGAACCGTGAGAATAGACATTTACTGGTGTTATCCACCCTGTCCCTTCCCCAAGAGACTATATCTATCTACTTCATTCATAGATGTTTTACATCATTATGCTAAATTCATTCCATCAGTTTAATAAATAGTTACTGGGCAATCTACTCTGTACCAGATCTTTTTCTAGGCTGAAAATAGCGCTGTGGGCATATGATCAAAGTTTTTACTCACATGGAGCTTGCCATCTATAGGGAGGAGACAAGTAAACAATAACAATAAATAAATACTATTCACTAACATTTCTGCCTGTATCCTTCATGGATCTTGTGAATAGAACCCTACTCTAATTCTGGTTTAGTAGATCCCGATTCTTGTATAATAGGTTCTTGACTGGTTTCTACAGTGAATGTGTTTTATGAATATTGTGAATTTGATAGCTTTATTTGGGAGATTGTAACTGATTTGTGAAATTAATATAACTTAATCATATTGTCTTTAACCAAAAAGGTAGATTTGAAGTGGCATCAGCTAGATATGCTTAAAATGTTCTCTTTATCAATTCTTCTGCTTTGGATGGTGTAAGGAAAGCAGGTGGACTTGAATGCCTCTTGGATTAATGGATTAATTACTTGCATTAGTAAATAAGATACACCACCATTATGATTGTTTTATGAATGAGTATCGTTGAGTTATGGAGACTTTTTTGTTAAATTTTGCCGTGCCAGTTTTTGGAGAGGGAGGAAAAAATGCTTGATTCCCTTTTTTTTTTTTTGCTTTCCATGGGTTCTTCCAGATCATAATAATGCAGGTAGGGCGTGGAGAGGGAGAACACTGCCAGAGATGGAGCAAGGCATCTTGCAGGAGCTGCTTTGAAGGAGAAATTGCCATATTCACTCATTCTCGCTTTCTCCCTGCTTTTCATGTCCTCTCAATAAAAATAGAAACTATAAATGTATACCACACATTTGTTTTTAGAGAATGGTGTGATAAGATTTATTTAAAACGACATAGACTTTCCTGATAGTAACAGCTCAGCAAGCAATTTTTCCTAGAATTGGTTCTGTTCTTCCCACAGCCATTTACTCCAGGTTTCTATGCCAACAACTGAAATCAAAGGCTTTTCAGACTGTGCGTGTTCTGGAATACTAAGTAAATTTTTTTGTCGTTGCTAAGAGGTGAACTTTGTTTTAGCCAGTAGGCCATGTTGAAAGCAGAGGATGTACTTTTTGTCAGTTTGTCTTAATTCTTGCCAAGTATAACTGTGTCTTTGGCCCCTTGCATATAATAGGGTGTTTGGTGTGGATTAGGGACATATATTTTTAAGCTGCTTTTAACCCCTTTCCATACCAACTCACAGAAGTCTTCTCTTTTGTCTTCAAAGAAAGTTATACTTTCACTTTCACCCCCTCTCAGTAGGAAACTCAAGAAGCTAAAGGTGTTAAGCTCTTGTAGGGATGTTGCTTGTGGTGTCTTTGCTTCCTTTCTTTTAATCACCTAGATTCATCCTCCTGACTCCATGCATTGGCATTGCCTTCCATCTGTAATGTGTCTATACATGTGTTACCTCGTTTGAGCTTCCCAGTGACCCAATGAGGTAATAAGAATTATTTCCCCACATCTTACAGATGAAAAAGCTGAGGCTCAGAGAGTTTAGGAGCCAAAGTGAGGCTTTCCAGCCCCTGAGCCCAGGATTCTGTGGGTTACATCACATTGTTCCTTATTCCATGGGCAGGAAGTCATCTTATGAACCCCTTTAATAAACTGCTCTAAGAAAAGACAAAAATCACCTTACGCCAACAGGCTCTGGAGTCCTAAGACTGCCACTTTGGCAGTAGGAGCTCCTCTGGACCCAGGGACTAGGGGGAGTGGGTCTTCCTGGGAACCACATCTCGTTACATTCACCAGGGTGGCTTCTTCTCTTCTCTTGTACTTTGAGCCATAGATCTGTAGCCCCTTTGGCCTTCAGTGAGTATCTGACTCCTGAGCAACCCCCAGGCCAGCCCAGTTAGGCTCTGCAGGCTGAAGACTACAGATGGATTCTGTTATTGTGTTAAAATACTAAGTCTAGAGGTCTAGGGCATGGTTGGAATTGTTAGCTATATATTCTTTTTGTTAAATGATTTATGTAAGCTTATTAGTCAAAGTATGATCTAGGTAAGAGTATTTTATTTTATGCCATTATATCCTGCCTGGTTTTAAAAAGAAAAATAAAGAAAATGTAAAGTAATTTGTATAAGTCAGGGTGGAAGATGAAAAAAAGACAATTAGGTGAGGACAGGCAAGTGGTAATGGGCCTGTGCTCCTGATAAGAAATTCTGTTTTGATTGTAGAAATGAGGTAATGCAAGAGAGATTATTTGTTTTCTTCTCTAAATTACAATTATATGTAAGTTTTTAAAAACAGAGAGACTAAAAATGTTTACATATTTTTAATTTGTCAAGTATTCAGTATAAAGATATATGGACATAGCTTGTAAGAAATAATTTTTAGTAACTTCCATTCTTTTTTCTCCTCCATTTTTAAAAGACTTCATTTACTTCTTGTGGGTCACAGG